TGAATCAACTGCACCACTCAGCTTGGCGTCATCCTCAAACTTGCTGAGTGTGCACTCAATCTCATTTATCTATGTCAATGATGAAGATATGAAATATTATGGGTCCCAGTATGGACCCTTGAGGGACATCACTGAAGGTGAACTCCATCAAGGTTCCAACAAAATTCCACTGCTTGGGATCATTACTTTGATTATTTAAACGAAAATTTGCTTGATCATTTTAATACAGCTTGGTAATTAAAATAGCAAGCTGTGACATTTGATACATTATGTGTGATAGGCTTATAAATATCCAAAGATAGGTAGTTGAAATGTATTTCACGTGAAATTGTAGAGAATTTTATTTTCAATGAAGCTACTTGAGTCGGCAATGACTTAGAGCTTAAAACACTGAAATTTTTTAAATATCAGTGTGAAATATTTTCTAATGCTTCTGAGTAAAAACTATTCTTCACAGATTTTAAGGTTTAAATGAACAACTATGGGTTTAAATATAAAAAACGTTTAGCATTTTTAAAATTTTAAGGTTTGTAACATTGTAACATTCTATAATTCTAAATATTGAGAATTTTGTTTAGATATTTGTGATCAAAATTTGATGTTTTTATGTGCCACAGTGAGAGATTGTCTCTGATATTAATTTTCAAGCTAAAGATTGGATTTCTGTTTTAAGGTACGCATTGAAATATGTTTTTTAAATTTTTTTGAAAGTTATATTTTTCTGTGAACCATTTTAATGTTTCCTTTAGGTCTTATTCAACTCTAATACGAAGTTGAACGATTTTTTAATATACTTAGAAATGCTCATATTAAATATTGTTATTTCTAGGCACGGGAAGGACGCACCACAGTTGTAGTAGCTCATCGACTGTCAACAGTCCGAAATGCAGATCTTATAGCTGTGTTCGAAGGTGGAGTTATCACAGAACAAGGGAATCATTTTCAATTGCTTGAGAGAAAGGGAATCTACTACAAACTTGTTAACATGCAGGTACTTTTTTCTCACTAGCTGTTGCCTCATTTTCTTTTTTGTATTCCATGCCCATAGTTATTGTATGCTATCAGAAGTATGGCGAGTTCTGCAGCATATTTTGTTAACAGCAAAAAAATGTGTACTTTGAAAGAAGAGCAGTAATTTGAGAGAGAAGACCACTAGTTTTGATACCAGACCTTTAAACCCAGGATAGTATATTTTTAATCCTCTAGGGATTTAAACTTAAAAGATTATTTTGTGTTTTCCTCATATGCAGTTAATGTAGAGCAGCTGACTACAGTAGTTTGCTATTCCATTGCTTGTTCTTAGCCTATGATAAAAGGTAGCTGATACAGAGGAATAGAGCACGCATATTTTAAGCTGTTTAGTTATAATCCTTCATACTGAATTTCTTTCTAAAGAAAACAAATGTGGAGGAAGAGGAGAAAAAGAAAAATAATCCAGCTATGCTGAGTGCAAAAATATGTACACTTAAAGTTATGTAGCCAGAAACATAGAGATTGGAAATTAATATAAATATCAGAAATGTATTAGTTAGTAAGCGAAAAAGAAAATACTTCGGTACATCCCAATGTCCCATGCGATAGTTAGGTTATAGCTGAGCTTCTTTGTAGCCTTCTGTGTCACTGGTGTTTTGCTGTATAAACACCATGCCCATTAAAGAAACTGAAATTGCTATCTCAGTATGTCAGACTGAAAAGAGTAAACTGGGCCAATTAAAACAGTTCTTCACAAAGTAACTATGAGAATGCATTTGGTCACCTTAGATTCAAAGTAACTTTGTATTCAAGCAAATGTGCTAATAGGAAAAATTAGGAAATATAAAATGGAAAGAAAATAAAAAATAATGGAAAATAACAGAAAATGGAAGGAAAGCAAAAAAGGTTCTTTTTATTAGTAGTACAAAAAGCAGTAAGAAACAAAAACTTTCTGGAACAAAAGAAATACAAGTTGAAGGCAACTTTGACTCCAGTTACTATTAAATACCTCAGTGGTGGGTAGGCATTTTTTTATTCTGTTAAAGAGACTGGCAAAACTGCCACCAAAAGTAGGGCTCTTTTCCAAACTGTTCAGATTTTTCAGTCAAAATCTCTTTTTGACCTGTTCCATCCTGAATTTCCTTATTACATTTAAAGTCAAGAATTGTTAAGAGTGTTTTGCACTAAAGAGGGGTAATTTTTTCTCACTTCGTGAATAAACAGTGTATCCACTGAGAACTCATTCAAAAAGATCTCAAGATGAGTGCAAATAGTTAACACTCAATTTAAAACTCTGTTAGGAGTTAATTCATAAAAAAAGAGTAGCTACTTCCACTCCCTGCCCTCCTGTTAGTATAAGTATTTTCTGGAGAGGTGGGATACTTTTATATATGAATCAAGCTCTGAAGAGAGAGACCTACTCAAATATAACACAGATTTTCATATCTGCTTTATAGCATTATGTATGGGTTTCCTCATATCTCTTTCCACTGAAACAATCAAAGAAGTTATTTTTACTCTGATTACCTCATAATTTTGAAAGTTCAAAGTAATATATGCATAATTGATCTTAGCATCATGTTCTTCCCTCTTTTAGGCAATAGAAGCTGAAGTTCCATCATCAGAAAAAGATGAGAATGCACTTAGTGTCAAAAAAAGTGAATCTGAGCCAGAATTTGAAGAATCCTTGACAAAAGGATTGAGAAGACGATCAACTCGGAGAAGCATGAAAAAGCCAGGAGCACAAAATGATGATCCTGATGAGAAAACTAGTTCACCTGTAAGTATCTTTGCAGAGCTGTCAGTGAACTTTGATTCTTTTCAACAAAGTATGTTAAAATTAAATTCATTCTTCTGCTCTAGAAAGGTACAAGAAGAAGGAGGCATTTGATAGGGGTGAAGAAAACATGAGAATTTTCTAATTCTAAATAGCCTTTGACTGATAATATTCGTAACTTGTTTTGTTATTCTCACCATGAATGATTATACAAATAAAATGTGACTTTAAAAGTCTATAACAAGGATGAGTTTATTCTTGAAAATCAATTTGCTATAAAAGAAATATACTTACATATATTTACATACCATACCGACATAAACACATTCATTTTTGGATCAGAAACAGAACATTTGGCCCAACATACAACTCTTACCACAAACCTTACAACAAAAACATACAACAAATATCATTGTATTCATATTTGTAGCAAGTACTTTGCCATTATAAATTGCTTAATGGACAATTACTTGAATTAATCTAGTCATGGATTACATACACCAATATGCCCAGAATGAATAGTTCAGTCACCATTGACCAATACCAAGAGTATTGATCAATGAAAATTATATAGAAAAACTAAAATATGATGACAAGAGCTGTAGATATATTCTAATAGCTCTTTCTTCCTTGTATTAAAATAATAAAAATAAATGTACAATCAGTTAATTATTCATGTTATTAAAAAGTATACATTTTGACTTCTCCTGAGTAGATTCTGGAAGTAGGCAATTGACTATTAATCTCTCTTTTTCTCCATATTTCTCCAAATACATACATGTTTGTCCTAACAGAATTCCCATTTTTTAGGATGAAGAATTACCTCCAGCTTCATTTCTGAAAATTATGAAGTTGAACGCAACTGAATGGCCATACTTTGTAGCTGGAACTTTATGTGCAATTATCAATGGAGCTTTACAACCTGCATTTGCAATCATATTTTCAGAAATTATAGGGGTAAGTTTGAATAAAATATGCAAAAATCTATAAAGCCCACGAAATTTATTTCTAAAGAAACCAGGTCTTAAACAATCACTGCATAATGAAACTGAGGAGTGGATGAAGCACTATTATAAAAATCTGAAGAATTGTATGAGATTTACAAAATCCTAAAAATCTTGCTACAACCTGAAATTTGCTTGTTATACCTATAATCATATGTAACATATGCTCAAATTTTATATGAATGCAAATGACTACCAAATATAGTTATTGAGAAATATAGGAGTATTTTAGATGATTAGTTGATTAAAAAAAGTTGTTTTAAATATTATTTTATAGATTTTTTCAGAAACTGACAAGACCATTTTAAGAGAAAAGAGCAACTTATATTCAGTGCTGTTTTTAGTACTTGGGATCATTTCCTTTTTTACTTTCTTTTTTCAGGTATGTTTTATTATTTTAGCCTTATTATAATTGTTCATCATGTTTTAGAAACCGGATCTGAAATATACTAAAAATTTGTATCTTCTTAATACATATCTCCAACTCAAACCAGAACCTGCATTTATGGTTCTAGATGTGCCTTGTGCTGAATTGAATATTGTTTGACCTACAACTTCTCATGCGTTAGAGACCTTCCAACCTATTCTGACCTCTTAACTTCAGAACTTCCCCTCTTCTTCAGCAATCAAATACATCTCAGCATGAAACTCAGAATTCTCTCACTCTTTTTTCCATTGCCACCTAACGGTCAACCCCTCCAGCCTTTACTTTATACCACTCCCTTCTCACCCTCAAGCCTCCTATTTGAATCTGTCAGCAATTGCAAATATACTGATCTCCTGCCTTAGCTGTCCTATTTTTTACTCCCCTAACCCCTTCCCCATTCAAATCTTATGTGAGTCCCCCCAAAGATTCCCAGGCCCAGTTCCTCAAGTAACACCCATCATGCTGATATTCAGCTCTTCCTGCTTAAATATTAATGGTTGAACAGTAATACCCCATCCCCTGCTCTCGCTGTTCTCTATAGCCATCTCAGCTTTTGCAAAAAAAGTATTTTAACTTTGCCCTAATTTTTATATGTATCTAACTGCTACAACAGCACCACAGTAAAATAAAAAAAATTAATAATCATACAGGTGCAAACTTTGGCATTTAAATATTTTCATATATAGTTGGTTTATAATTTCTGAATATGTTTGTATATTTCTATCCATTAAATCAGCCTACACAGTGAAATGATAAAGTGCACTTGGGACAGCAGCATAAAGTGTCTTGCAAAAACTTCCTGGTTTATTTATGGAATTGTCTTGTTGCACATGTGTGCAAGAAGGTCTTGAGTATAGAAGACTGAGTTGTAGATGGCTGTGACAGGTTTGCTCAATTTATAAATGTTCAGATAATGTTTTAAATATGAGTGGGAAGAGTTCATTGAGATGTAACACCCCCAAATTAGTGAGAATGAAAAATTTAAAACATTCGTATAATCTCTTTATATAGTGAACATTCTCTGATTTTCTTTTGTGATTTTTTCTAAGTCTCATGCTTGTGCAAATTTACTGACAGTATAGGAGCACAGCAAAGATAGTGATCAAAGTTAACTGAGAAATATTTGCTGATTGGAATATGCCATAATAATTTTTCTTAGTATCACATAGTACAGTTGCACCTGTGGTTTGTATTTTAAGAGTATTCAATTTCACAAATTTAGATTCCAAACAATTAATATTTGTAATCACAACATGGTAGTGAGCTTAACAAAGATAATTATAAATACTGATGTCATATGAAACTGTAGGCAGAGTGTATCTTCCCAAAATTTTAACCAGCATATTCTGTTTTGTATCTTGTTAAATTGATTCATATAGCTGGCTAAAATTATGTTCAATTCATTATAAAACATCACTTATGTATGACTGCTGATAGCTATGTCAGTTTGTGTTAGGATCCCAGGGAAGAAATCTTAATTCCATTGGAGTCAATGGGAAATTTGCGTTTGACTTCAGTGAACCCAGATTGCCTTATGAAGTCTTTAACCTAAAACAAGTGGCCTAAAAGCCACTTGCTTAAATCTGACTTAGGTCAACTCAGATAAAAATGAAGGCAAAGGGTTGATTAGTGATCTTTGCATTGAAGCATGCTGGTGAAGCAGTGCTGGGAAATATTGCTATGCTCTACATATTTTTTTGAGAAATAATATTCGAATGTCTGTACTGTGAACCTACTCAAATTTATGAATATTAAACCTGGTTTTACATTTGCTTTGTGCAATATTTTGTACTGTGACATTGTAGAGACAATGTATCTAAAATATTTATTGAATATTTATTGAATATTGAATATTTGAATATTTGAATATTGAATATTTATTGAATAAACACAAAAAATGTAATAGTATGCTAAGCATTGTACCTTTTCTCAAATAGGGTTTCACTTTTGGCAAAGCTGGAGAAATTCTTACAATGAGGCTTCGATTCATGGCATTTAAAGCAATGCTTAGACAGGTAAAGATAATAAATATTTTGATTTCCAGGGTTTTAAAAATAATTAACTTTATAGATAACATAAAATAACTGTATTCTACATTATTCTATCATATTATGTCTTGCCTACAGAGAATATTCTTTAAATCAGTCTGGAAACTAACTTGGTTAGTTACATGTAGTTAAGTAAAGTATTCTTAGAGGGAGAGTCTTAAATCAATACAAGTACAAGAGCTTTTTGTGTACTCCTTGCAAGGACTTAGATTTACAGCCAAGTTACTGTGGCCTGACAAGTTGACGTGCTTAGGTGTTCATTTGCCTGCTTTTGCCCATTACGTGTTCATTTGCCTGCTTTGCTTTCTTGGTGCCCTTTCTTCCCTAAAGAAATGCAATGCAATGCAGCTTACATTGTAACTCTTACTTCAAATGACTGTTTTAAATTGTAATATGTACAGATATTTATTTATTTATTTATTTATTTATTTATTTATTTATTTATTGAAGGTCTCTTTCAAAGAGTCCCCAAATCTATAATTGTTGTTTGTTAATACAATAGTGAGATTGTATACTTAAATCTAAAACCACTTTCAGAGAATTAAAATATAAATATTTCATAGTGGTTTTAAGTAATTCATGTAGTTATCTAAATTGGGCTTAATTTTGCATGATTTCAGGATCCGTATTTTAGATTTTCAAATATAATATTTCTGGGGTTTTGTGTCTTGCACATAAAGCTACATGTAGACACAGAATTTGATTCATGTGAAAATGACTATCTGCAATGTGGACAGAAAGCTGTTGTAGTCTGAAAAACTATGAGTTATAGATCAGCCTCACTGAAAACCTAATGAAAGAGAAATCTTACAATTGAGTCCTGAGGTTACAAATGCCTGTACTACATCACCACGTCTTCATTCAATGCATATCACACATGAAAGTTTAAATCAGATATTTGACCACATGGTGAATAAATTATAAACTGTGTACTTGACCCCAACAATTGACTCTGATTAGATAGACCAGTGTGTTTGGTTTATGTTTTTTTGTTGTGGGTTTTTTTTTTTTCCTCTCATAACTTCCAAATAAGCCTCTTCAGTCTGGGGAGAAACAAAACAATGAGTTGGGTGTTTTTGTCTTGAAAATGCTTTACACTTCATTCATCTGCAAACAGCTTTGCAGTTGTGAAGGAGTGTGACTGAAGAGTCATCTCCTCCAAGGAGATGCAGATTCAGCAGCGGTGGGGGAAGGTAGATTCTGTTTTTGGGAATCCCCCAGGCTGCTCTTCTTCCTCTCAGCAGTGACAGTGTGCACATTAGATCATCCACAAGCATACACTTCTTTCTAAAAATATTCATTGTGCAATGAAGGAATTAGACTTAATTAAATATGCAGAACTGATGCACTGCCACATACACAGTCTTCTGACACTGAACTCATTTATATTAGGTAAACCTCAGTTTACATTTGTGGTTTATATGAAATGTCCAAAAAATGGTCCTAAGAAAAATGTTTCTTATGTAGGACATGGGCTGGTTTGATAATCCTAAAAATAGCACTGGAGCATTAACTACAAGACTTGCTAATGATGCCTCACAAGTGAAAGGAGTAAGTAACATTTTGTTTTGGAATTTTTCATATTTGGTTTAGTGTGTAGTAAAGCTGCAGCTTGGATTTGACTGGTTGGATAACAGTCTTGACTTTGACAACTAAAATTTACTATAAAATGATAGCTGGTATAGAATGCATTGATGTGTTTTATAACAATGATGGTAATATATGTTTATGAAATAATTTCCAAGTAAACCTTTTTTCAAGTTTACTGCTGTGCTGTATTGTGATCTTCATTATTCAACAAATTCATTGGGAATCTCTTTATCTAAGAAGTCTGTTTAGAGGTATCTTATTTACCTAAAGATATGCATCTAAATTTGTTCAGCTTATGACCTCCTACTATTTTTTTGATCATACAGATTCCTTATATGAAAAAAATTAGACATAGTAGCAATAGACTTTGTTTTCCTTATTACTTTTTGGAGATTCTTTGGAAGTAATTTGTGGGCTTTCAGATATCTGTAATATTAGGCTAAAGAGCACTGAATGTAATTATTTGTGTATACTTAAGCAAATATTTACTGCGACATGAAGTTATGTGCTTTTTTTCTGAACTGAGGAATTTTGTAGTATTTTTGGTTTCATAAGTTAAACATTTAATTTTCTTCTTCATTGGGCTCCATGTGATGACTTATAAAGCTAGCTGCATGTTCTACAAAATGTGATAGATTTTAATGTTTAGCTGTAAATATAAATATGCGATATGCTTAAAGTCTGTTCAGCTTCAAGAGCAGAATTTGGAAATTGCAGTGCAAATTTAAGTATTCAGAACATGGGGAGAGAAGAATTAAATGTGATCTAGGTAATTTTTACAAGATAATTTAAGAAACATTTTGAAAAACAGCAAAACTGAGTTAAGACTTTCTAATAGTGTTTTGAGAACAAGTAATATTATAGGTGAAAATGCTTTCTTTATTTAAGATGCAGTTACTTTAGCAAGAAATGTCTTTTTTCTTCCTCCAGGCAACTGGTGTCAGACTGGCATTAATTGCCCAAAACATAGCTAACTTGGGGACTGGAATTATTATATCATTAATTTATGGCTGGCAGCTGACCCTGCTACTTTTAGCTGTTGTGCCAATCATTGCAGTGGCAGGAATGATCGAAATGAAGATGTTGGCTGGGCATGCTAAAAAAGATAAAGAAGAGCTGGAAGCTGCAGGAAAGGTGGGTCTAGAGAAGTTTATCTATTTCTGTGTAATGTATAAAGTCATGTTTACCAAAGCATTGTTGATGGATGTATTACTTCCAAATACAGAACGTATCATAATATTTAACTTCCAGAGAGAGCCAGACTCTATGTAGTTACACTAGTAGACCTACAGAGCATAACACCTCTTCAGTAATAACTGAAGAGTTGTGCTATTAACCAATATTTATTTTTATAATTGATAAATGCCAGAATGTGCAAAGCACTATTCAGGCACATTCTTTTCTCCTTCCTGTTCTGATCATCTCTGTTTTCCTTACTTAGCAACCCTCTTCATTTTGACATTCTCTTTTTTCTTTTCTGTCATCCCTTTTTGGCATGTCATCTGTCTTACATAAATTATACTGCTCTTTTCTTTTCTCTTTCATCTTATTAATGTTTGCAGATATAATATGTATATATCCACTGCTTTCTGAGTCTGATTGCCATTCCTTTATTTCTTGAGTGGAAGAGAAAGATGAGAACTGAAAAGTGAGAAGGCTAGACTCTTCTTTAAAAGATTAGATGAAGGCATTTAATGTCACTTCATTTCAAAAATTCTTTTGGGACAGAACAACTATTTCATCACTTCCCAGATACTGCTTTCTTAAAGATAAAACTTTTCTAAAATACCTTTCTATGTCCTACTGTTTTTAAAAGTTTAAAGAGCAATACTGAGGCTGTAAGGAACACCTGGGGGTGTTGGTTGACAGCTGCCTGAACATGAGCCAGCAGTGTGCCCAGGTGGCCAAGAAGGCCACTGGCATCCTGGCCTGTATCAGGAATAGTGTGGCCAGCAGGACCAGGGAGGTGATAGTGCCCCTGTACTCGGCACTGGTGAGGCTGCACCTGGAGTACTGTGTTCACTTTTGGTCCCTCACTACAAGAAGGACATCGAGGTGCTGGAGCGTGTCCAGAGGAGGGCAACGAAGTTGGTGAAGGGTCTAGAGAACAAGTCTTATGAGGAGCAGCTGAGGGAGCTGGTATTGTTTAGTTTGGAGAAAAGGAGGCTGAGGGGAGACCTTATTGCTCTCTACAACTACCTGAAAGGAGGTTGTAGCAAGGTGGGGGTCGGTCTCTTCTCCCTAGTAACGAGTGATGACGGGAGGAAATGGCCTCAAGCTGTGCCCGGGGAGGTTTAGGTTAGACATTAGGAAAAATTCTTCACCGAAAGGGTAGTCAGGCACTGGAACAGGCTGCCCAGGGAAGTGGTTGAGTCTCCATCCCTGGAGATATTTAAAAGACGGGTAGACGTGGTTCTTAGGGACATGGTTTAGTGGTGGACTTGGCAGTGTTAGGTTAACGGTTGGACTCGCTGATCTTAAGGGTCTTTTCCAACCTTGACGATTCTATGATTCTATGAAAAAACCCCACATCTACTGGCTTCCCTGGGTCAACTAGATGGTTAACCTTGTCATAAAAGGAAATTAAGTTACTTAAACAGGACTTACGCGTCATGAGCCCGTGCTGGCTATGACCAATGACTGACTGCATTGTCTCTCAAGTTTTTTTCAATAACTCCCAGAATAACTTTCTCCATAATTTTACCAGGCACTGAAGTGAGACTAACAGGCCTGCTGTAGTACAATAACTTATTAAAAGTGCTCATGCTTCTCCCTGAAGGTTCTCTCCTGCTTTTTGTGTAAGTGCTCAGTTCAGAAAGCTTTGTGCAGAAGAGGGACTTTGCTGACTTCTAGGCATGAGCTGGAAACAGAGGGAGTTCAAGGAACTAGGTCCAGAGAAGCACAGTGTTCCAAAGCACTGGTTCTCAAAGAGCTTTATGGAGAATGTGAGCCACGTAATACACCAAATGCAATAACAAGATTATGTAAAATAATTGCGTATCTATTTGATGCTTTCTAAAATTAAAATATAAAATAATGTTAAGATTGAACTTTTATAAGTTTTAGGATATTCAAAAACATTGCCAGTCTCTTGGGAAAAAACACTTCTCCCCAGCTTCAAACGTTTAGATGCAAAGAATCAGGGGACTCACCACACCTGTGGGGAAAACCCAAGAATAAATATATTCATAAATAAATTCACAAAGGTTCATAATAAATTCATATAGGTTCATAAATAAATTCAGTGCTGAAAAAACATCACTATGGAAAGCCCTTCTTTTATAATCTAAATGTGCATGAATGTAAATATGCAAGCAGATGTACCTGATTTCTCACCTTTTTCTGGGCAGATGCCATCTAATGGTTAGCTTCGGATTTATACCTTGAGTTGTCTACAGCACTGTGATCTTGTACTCCATGGCCAGTTCTGGTTATTAAGATGCAAAGTTCACTCATTCTTGTGTCTTTTGTCTAGATATACTTTTCTTTGGTTATATTTTCCCTTGACCTTACTTTATGGTTTTCTTAGACAAGGTCTACAAAAGTCTAGCTACATTACTGTTGGCATTGTCCATATTAATTTCCTGCTAATGTGTACTTTCTTGAACAGACAGTTCTCTAAGTTATACTCAGACTTATTACTGTGCATTTGTACAGTATTTATGCTCATAAGTAAACTCTCCTGCTAAATACCCATCCGTAGAAATAAGACCAGTTGGCAACTGAATAGAGCCTAGATATAGGTGTTTAATACTATTTGAGATGCATTAGGAAATTGAAAACATCCATCCCTATGGGACTGTCAGGTATAACACAGTACATGTGGGAATCCCTGCCCTCTCAGAGCAACAGCAGTTGAGGCCAGCTGGAATACCCAACATACCATGTATTGCGCTGGAGGCAGTGTGTAGGACATGGACTCAAGCCCAGTGTTTCAACGAGAGGTGAACAGAGGGATTCAGCACTAGTTCCAGTGTGTAAAGAGATGCGATTGTTCCAGGTGTCTTCCACTGGCCATTTCTAAGCATCATCCTCTTCTACATGCCTATGGACTGAATTGACCATACAGGCTCCTAGCCTGATTGTGTGATCATTGAGGAAGACTTACCTACATAGGTAACCTACCTTGTGCACCTACATAGACTTAACAGACTACATAAAAAAGCCTTGAATCGGTTGCTCCCATGCAGGCATGCATCTACTGCCTTCAAATGTTACTAGGTACCTTTGTGTATGTAAATGACTCAAGTCTAAAGAATCTGCAAGCTTAAGGAAGGTATTACTGATCAGATCAGATATCTACTGCTGAGATCTCAGTTGGGCTCTAGCCACATAAATAACCTGGACATTCTGATTATAGCTCAAACTCAGCGGACTGGAAGTTGAATGCTAAATTGCCATTTTTCTTATTGAATATCTTCTCTGTAATTGTCACTGCTGTCTGATGGTTTTTCACTACTTGTTTAGAGCACATTAAAGAGGTTTTATCAGAAAATTCTGAGCATCATCAGAAAATCTCACTGTCATAAAAAGAAAAATGTAAAATGCTTACTTTTGATATCAAAGGTCCATGACTTTAATAACAATTATAAAAAATATAAAATTATATTCCAGCAGACTCTTTTTATTAGTTTAGAATAAGGAATTGCAACATAATCTTAACTTTTGATTAAAACATTTGTATTTCTATTGCAGATTGCCACAGAAGCCATAGAAAATATTAGAACTGTTGTTAGTTTGACCCGAGAAAGGAAATTTGAGATGATGTATGGAGAGCATTTGCATGTGCCATACAGGTATAATAGAAAAAACTAAGCTAAAAAAAAATCTGTGTTTAAATTATAGAATAAATTACAAATATTTACTTGGACTAACATTGATTTTTTTTTGTTAGTGTATATGATGTAATGTATAATTTAATTACCTCAGAATTAATGTAAATATTTTGCATATTTTTTAATTACAAATGCAACCACCAGCCACCATTTTTTTTCTTTGATTTAATTGATTTTATGTGATAATATTGGTACCATCTATGGCAATGTCACTTGGTTTGGAAAAATGTTAGTTTTAAGTGAGCTTTGGAAGTCATCTAATCTAATCTCCCACCTGAAGTGTTTCAGATATTTAATTAGAAACTTTTAAATGGAAATTGAATATTGCATTAAGCCATTTTTGAAAGTATGAATAGGATTGAAAACATTTGAATAATTACTTGTTGGTTTGTGACTGAAAAAAAAAAGGAATATAAATCTGCCTGGACTAAATAAAAATTAAAAAGTCTTAAAGTGGAAAACTAAAAAGATACAGTCAATTAAAGTCTTATTTGTTCTAGAATGAAATGTTTCATTTTCAGACATCCATGAGAAAAGTAAAGGAAATGACAGCATACGTACACAGATATGATGGGAGACAAGTAGGGCTGCTGCTAATACATCCACCATAATAATTGAGTGGTTAGAGAACAGTGCAGGACATAAAAGATATTACTTTAGCTTTTTTCTCGGCTGCTAGGTTTTGAGTCCGTACCTCACAATGTGCAGGAGAATACTTAACCATTCTCAGGGTCGACATTGATGGGATTGCTCCAAGACTTTCATCTTAATGTTATTCTGGTATAAATAAGAACTTATTGCCCTATGGGTCAATTTGTCTGGAAGAGAGAGAACGTGTTTTTCAGTTAATATTTCAGTGCGTGTTAAAGCGCTGATTATGCAAAGAGTTTCTATTTTATAAAAATTGAGCCTAGGCCTTCTGTTATACTGGATTAATGCACAAATCAGCTATGTAAAAGAAAAGTCACAACAGCCTCTTAATCAAAAAAAAACACACTTGTGAATCTGGCTCCTGTTTTTTTTTGGTTTGGTGTTTTTTTTCCAGAAGGAACCATACATTTGTGACTTAGTAATAGCATCAATAAAATTATTTTCTGTCTTTTTTCTGGTATCATTCATAGTTACAGAAAAATTTCTCTCTGCCTTGCTTTTAGTTATAGGCATAGTTTTATCATCCAAAATCTAATTTCTGCATCATACATGCAGGGTTAATCTTATTTGAGAGAGGAATTTTGACTGAATAAATTGAAAAGAAACAGATTCTCGAGTGTTTAATATCTTTGTTATTTGGTTAACATAAAATTGCAAGTAAAGAAAAAATGACACAAAAATTTGTCTTTGGCTGAAGGTGAGCTAACAGTTCTGCTCTTTTTTTTTCTTATGTGATGCAGTAGTACAATTTCAAATGTGTTATTGACATCTTCAAAGGGGTAATCATGGACTGAACTGTAAAGTGGTTTAGAACTCAAACTATGAGATGGTAAGACAATAATTATACATAGTAGCTGAGGTGTCACCCTTCTCTGCACCCATATTCTAAGCTGCTCTTGGAAGTAAATAAAATTCTGCAAACAAAACTAACTTTCTCTTGGACACAGTCTAACAGGAGACAAGGGATTGTGTTGTTTAAGCATGAGTACGCTTCCCATTCATAACAATATCATCTGAAGTCAATTAATTGGGTTTTGCATACTAGGACCTAAGTATGATTGTACATTTTTATGAAAATATGCATTCTTTCTTACAGAAATTCTGTGAAGAAGGCACATATATTTGGATTTTGTTTTGCCCTTTCACAAGCAATGATGTTCTTTACCTATGCTGGCTGTTTCCGGTTTGGTGCCTATCTAGTGGTAAATGGACACATGGACTATAAAAGTGTGTTTTTGTAAGTATCTGTTTTGTAATCTTTTTTCTGTCAGTCCAGACAAAGGTCTTTGTTTACTGCTAGAGATATCATGAATCCATTGGGTAAGCTACGAGAAAACAGGAAAGTTCTTCTTCTGTACTTAAATATAATGAAAGCATATTACAAAGTGCATACTCTAGGTAACTCAGAGTCTGAGCTGTTCAGATAGGCCTGATTTTGGATTTCCTTTTCTGTATTTATTTGGGACTATTATGTTTTTCAGAGGTTGAAACAGTACCCTACTTACATCACTTTGTTTATTCTCACCAATCTTATTGTTCATGTAGCTGTGAGGTCCTCTGTATATTCTACAAAAAACATAGTTGCACCTGTTTATTGAAGCATAATAATATTGTAAAAATCTTTTTAAGAATAAGTCATCAGCGTCTTTGTTATTTCTGTGTCAGGTTTATTCATTGAAATTTGAAATCTTCTCTAAAATACATGTTAAATACCCAGAGAGTAGGATTCCATAAGGTATATGCTGTTCACTATAAGGGAAGAATAACTGAATTATTTTAGATGACATTCTGATAAGAAGCTTGTTCACTTAAATGAACCAATTTTGTGCGGGAAATGAAAGCATGAACCATGAATGTAAGAACAGTATGTAAAGTACTATACATAACCATAGTTGGGTGGAGCATTTTATTTTTAATTTAGACAGGCACTGCAAATAAAATATAATTCTAATCTGCAGTATTTTTAGAAGGTGTATCCATTGTAATCTGATATTATACAAGGAATAGTACAATTATTTGTCTCTAAGGGTACTGCATAGGCTTTTAAGGGCAGAAACTGTACAAAAATTAAAGGAATGATTTTGAAATTATAAATTATCCTTAGCTTCTTACTTTTATATTTTGGGTTTATAATCACTGTTTATCCAATCATTTGCCATAATATCTAAGACCCCCTACCATAACCAAGTCCCATTCTTCTAGATCATATATAAACTCAGAAGAAATATAATTTATAATTTAAGAGGTGATAGCTCAATATAGGCCTATGGAAACAAGTATGAAAAGAATGAGATTCTAGCAGTATGGATATCAGTAGCCTCAATACCTAAGAAAGGCCAATCATACCAATTTTTTGTTGGCAACCTGATTGAAGATAGTTAACACAGCTCATTTTGACTGGAAGATGTTGGAAAGTGTCTGCATCCCATCTGCTAGCTGAACATCTCTAGCCAGCTGGGGGAGTGAACTTCCAGTGGCTCAGTTAGATTTGGAAGGAATTGTCTGACCTAAAGCTGTGTGAGCCCTTCTAGGCTGTTCAAATGCAGAATAAAACAGATGAGTTAATATAGCTCTGAAGATAAAAGTTAATATAAATGAAGTTATTTTACTTTGCCTTAAAACAGGCTAAGAGGTCTCATATGTCAATTACCATTTCTCAGTGATGAGGAATCCTATGTTGTGTGGCAGTAATTAATAGCTGAGGACAGCAGGTTCTTAAACCATTCTAATGTAATGCCTGTAATGATACATCTACATTCACCATAAAACAATAATAGCGTAGTTTTCAACCTTTTTTTGGTGTTGTGAATCCTTCAAGTTTTTTTCAGCAGAGCTGTGTAGCAAATTAAATCTTTATTGTTACCTTGTTACAGGCTTTATTTCTTATTTTCATTGATGCCTTAAAAATGAATCACTAACTCCCAGAGGTCATTGAATCATAGAGAGGAAACCACAGCAACAGTAGAACAGGATTAGAGTAACGATTTTACCATCCATTGACCACTTTCTTCCTAGCCCCAGTGAGACTTAATATAGTTAACCAGTATTAATAATTAAAGAGATTAGTGCTAATAGGTAATGAAAACATTTAATTTGGAATGGAGGCTTGTTTATCTCGCTTCATTAAAAGAGGATAAAAACAAATTTCTGGAACTAAATGAGTAATTACAGCAATAACTGTTGGTTACTACTTTATTCTTTTTAAATTTAGTCCCGTTTTTTCTCTGAGCAAAAGAAAAAATTGACTGCAGCCCCATTTCCATTGTCCTTTTCTTCATTGTCTATTTATTGATACTTTTTTCCTGATTTCTTTTATAGAGTGTTTTCAGCTGTTGTATTTGGTGCAATGGCATTAGGACAAAGCAGCTCTTTTGCTCCAGACTATACCAAAGCCAAGATATCAGCAGCCCACTTGTTTCTACTGTTTGAAAGAATACCCTCAATAGATAGTTACAGCGAGGAAGGAGAGAAGCCCGTAAGTAAGCCATGTGTAATGGGCGATATTATTTATGGACAACATGGATAGTACTCTTCTCACTTCCTTCAAACTGATTTTTCCTCTCCTTCTGATTACTTCCTTACCTCAACGTGTTCTCGCCACTTTATCCGAACACAACATGGACCAAGTTCTCTGTTGTGAGTCCAGTTTTTGCCCACTCTGCCTAAACATTTTTGTTTTGAAAATCTGGTTAAGGTACAACTTGTGTGGAATACAACCAGCAGAATTATGAGCATTTTCAAAATAGTTCAGTGGTGTACTTTGATTTTGTCACTTCGCAAAGATTCAGACCACAGAGTTAAAGTCAGCATTCCAGCAAATGCAAAACTCTATTGATCTCAGTGGGGAAAAAGCCAAGATTTCTGCAATTCTATTTGAATAATCTATCAAATTGTCTTAAAGATGTAACAGTGATACTATTTCAATTATAGGAAACATTCAAGGGAAACGTAATGATCAAAGATGTGGCATTTAACTACCCAAACCGACCAGAGGTCAAAATCCTCCAAGGTTTAAATCTAAAAGTAGAAAAGGGACAAACTCTGGCTCTTGTTGGTAGCAGTGGCTGTGGAAAGAGCACTGTTGTTCAGCTGCTTGAGAGATTTTATGATCCACTTAATGGAGAAATGGTAAGTATTTTTGTAACAATGTGTCAACGTGTTAAGTGAGGGTGTGCTTGTTTGGTTTTATGTGATGTGATAAAGTATAATAGATATTTCTAGGTTTATTTTTGAAATATTTTTAATGTTAAAGACAAGCAGTAGCTCATCAGGGTTCCTTATTTAAATGCGATGAATAATATAATGGAAAAAGTCCTGGTTTCCCACATTATAATGAATTAATGAAACAAGATCTGTGTGGTAAAAATATGCCTGATCCACAGCCTAATGATGCCTTTGAATTTGGAGCAAATTCCCTGAGGTTTTTATGTTAAAAACACTTTAAAAGTTATTAAATATACGTATCTACTTCTGTATAATGTAGTAATAGAATTTGCCATCTGTGTTCTTTCCTAAAACATTGAACATTGACAAAAAAAAATTTTATCATAATTTTTACTTGTCAGAAACATCTTTCAGAGTATGCCCACTTACCAAGTGATAGATTGTAAATACTTTCAGTAATTTTGGTTTAAAATACATCTAGGGTTTCTCACACTACTTATTCAGCAACTTTACATATTTTTTTCACATAATGGTGTTGTTTATTGTCATTTTCTCTTTGATGTAAACGTGCTCAGAGATTTTGTTTGAAAAAGAACCCACACATTTTGGGTTGGATGAGTAAGAATAAGAAGGATTTCAGAACTTGTCTGAGCAGAGATACTCACAAAAGATAAAGCAATAATTAATAGGCCTAGATGCCATGGGCAAGATTTTTTTTTGAGGTTGGAAATGCCCATACGGGTCCAGTGTAGCAAACTGATGTGTAGAAAGAAGCAGCATAGGTATGTTTAACCAAGTGCAACTTCATCACCAATGTTTTTGACCTTGTATCGATAAATAACCAACAATGGCTTACTGAAGGGTAAAGCACAGACCTCTGGCATGGAAACTACAAAAGCAGTGGACTAATTCATAAGCTCAGTTGCACTTTGAGTGAAAGGAGTGTATGCTTAAAAGCACTGTCAGAAGAACAGCTGTTCACAGCAGTGAGCACTATTCTAGTCTGGTAAAGAGGGTAACTATGCCTAAAAGTTGTACTATTTGGTGTGGTGGATCCAAAATGCATAATAACTGAGTTCTCTAGCTTTGTCAGTGATTTTTCACGTCAAATAAGGAACAGGGAGCAGACCTTAGCAGCCTGCAAATCCATTTGAATTCTAAGGAAAAGAGATGGCAAATATCTATGTAGTTGAAAGCAATTTCTCTTTTCTAGCTTTTTTTTTTTTTCCCCTTTACATCTGCAGATGTAGAAATGCTGCCACTGATTTCAGTGGATTTTGAATCAGGTTCATTATGATCTCTTTCCTTTGAAAAACAGTTATATTGGCTGCAAATTGGCTGTTCTAGGACAAACTGTGGAATTAGTACATTAATCATGTCCAGTAGCCATGCTATGAAGGGGGCAGTTCTTCAGTTACCCAGCCGATCATGTTACTCAACACAGAGCCTAAGCACTGCACTGGGTGATTCTAGTGGAGATGTAACAGCCCTCTTAACGTCCTGGTATATTTGTGTCCAAGTTGATATGACTTGTATAATTATGAAACTGATATATCCAGAAAAAAACTTTCTGTTGTCATTTATCTAATAGATAATGATAGCAACTCAGTAGCCAAATTTAGCAGAAGTGTGATAAAGTTGCCAGTAAAGAAAACTGACTGCAGATGATATCTTAAGGAATCCAAAAGTAAATTTGTCCATTGTCAGGCATTACATCACCATTAAATTTAAGATTGGATGTTTGGCTTAGAAGTGTGTGAATGAATGAACCCAACTCTTCCTTTATTTTAATGGAATACTACTGCCAATCTGTTCCTTCGGTGGGAATATATATGCAAAATAGAGGAAATTTTTCCTACCGAAGAAAGAAAGGAAAGAACTTTACCCAAAGTTCTTGAAGTTGCCTCAGCATATCCTATCTTCCACTGTCTTAAAAATCCTGATGAAATCTTGAAGCAAAGAAAAGGACTGAGGCAGCAGAAGGGACTAGCCTCATTTTTATATAATAGGCCTTAGAAGATTTTGGAACATAGAGGAGAAGGAGGGAAAGGGATTATGTGAGCTTTCAATATGGTATCTCTAAGGAAGGAGCTGCAATTGCACAACTTCTGTCTATGAATTTACAGTAAGTCTCAAATACACATATAGCCATGTGACTGAAATTTAAAATGTTTGGTTTCTCAGCTTTTTGACGGCAAAAATGCAAAGACACTAAATATCCAGTGGCTGAGAGCTCAGATGGGTATCGTCTCACAAGAACCAATCCTGTTTGACTGCACGATTGCTGAAAACATCGCATATGGAGATAACAGTCGGCAGGTGTCACATGAGGAAATTGTTAATGCAGCAAAAGAAGCCAATATTCATTCCTTCGTTGACTCTCTGCCAGATGTAAGTTATTCCTTTTGTCTCCTACTTAGAATGGGAGGTGACCTACTGTGGCAGGGGAAAATTGTGTCCATTTATGATTCCCTGGAGTACAATAATTCCCTGAGATGCAAATCTGAAGCTGATTTTTAAATCTTATCTTTCTTAATTGTGTTTACCATACTTATTTTTACTCTGGGAGACTCCATTGTTAGGTAGAGAGCTAAACATTTAAGATATCAGGGAAGAAAATCCACAATTATAACTGAGAGCTGGAAGTGTGGGGTAGGCTTTTTCAAGCAAGTTAAACATTTCTTTTTAAGCTCCTATTTATCTCAAGCATATGTAAAAGACTTTGCCAGGCTGACAAATTTCTTACGCATTTCTTCCAGTTATACCTAGTCAGAATTTAAATTTCTAGTATTCCTACAGTTCAAAAATTACTAAGAAAGGTTTTCATATATATATATATATATATATCTATATATATATAGATATCTATCTGACCATTACATAATAATGTAAGAAAGAACATCTTGGGTCAGATGAAAGGTCTGCCAGGCACAAAATCTTGTCCCAGGCAGTGACCAGCAAGATGTATTTACAAATAAGTATGCAAAAGGGCTAAATATTTAATCACATTTCCCCTGAATTCTCATCTAACTTTGCATAATTTGTGACTCAGGAACTTCCTAAGATAGAAATCATGTTTTATTATTTAATAGTTCTGGGTGCATTTTTCTTCTGTGGGTTTGACAAATCAATTTGTAACCTATGTCAGCTTGTATCCAAAACTTCCTGAAGCAAGGAAGTTGCCAGCTTAGTTGTATGTTGTATATATTCAGCTTAATTTCAGGCTGTTAAGCTGCTTTTTACATTTCTTGAAAAAAAACAAAGGCCAAAGCTCATGATTTTTCCAGATCATGTTTATTTTCTAATGACTTATCAAGATCTGCTCTTTCCAAAACTTTGTAGAGAAATCTTGTGATGTATAATGATGTCTCATAAAACTTTGGTGCTTTTTGCAACCAAATATATAATACCTCAAAGACTACTGTGACCTACATGTGAGTTTGTCTGGAGACCTGGCTGGTCCACCTTAACTGACATAACTAAATTAAAAGCATAACTGTCCAAAACTGTTTTATAGATAAAGTGTATAAATGTCTATGTCTATATACACATATAGTATATAATTTGGCCTGAAACTGATACATCTTATACATTGCTATTTTTTTCTTCAGGATGAATAAATGTGGGTAAAATAAGTGATTGGTTAGGATGCTGGCTGGGAGTGTTTAAGGTCAGGGTTTGATCCCCACTATTGTCATAGACTTTCGCTGAGCTTTGGTATTCTATCTCCTCATTGAGAATAATGTTGCCTTCCAGCCTTAGAGGAGCTGTTGCTTTGAATTTATGAAATGCTTGACACTACAAAGAAGTCTCCTAGTGAAAGATCTATATATCTGTAGCAGATAGCAATTCTGGTCATCTGTTTTCAGAGAGCTATTGGCATGGAATATGCAGTTTATGGATGGCTGGCGTCAGGGTCAATATGCTTAAATATACTTCAGAATCGATTTGCATTCATAATCTGAACTTAATATATTGTTTCTAGAAATACAATACCCGCGTAGGAGACAAGGGAACTCAGCTTTCTGGTGGTCAGAAACAACGTATTGCTATTGCCCGAGCTCTTGTACGTCGGCCCCAAATTCTGCTACTGGATGAAGCTACATCTGCATTAGATACAGAAAGTGAAAAGGTAACTTGATTGTGAGCCAGGAGTCCGGAATCTAAATCTGTGTTCATTTGTATTATCATTATTGTTTTCACTCCCACAGATTAAAGCCCAAAGCTGGAAATATGGTGTTTTATGAAAATTACATACCTATGCTAATAATAGACAAATATAGAGGTCTTACTCCTTGCCAAAAAAACATATCTTTTTTTTTCATCTGTATGGCAGTAGGCAGATTGAAGTAGCAATGAAGAAGGCATTTCTTTGTCTGGAATTCTTCAGGCTTCAATCGGAAAAGTGCTATCAGAATTGAATCGGGAGGCACGAACTTCAGAAAAGGAAGAGACTGAGGACACTGCCAGAGAACTTTTTCTCTGGGAAATGGCCAAATCTTCCTGTCATCATTTTTCTTGCTTCTCTCATTGCTCTCCAGTGCTTGCCAGATGTTCATGGCTAATATGCAAACTTCCAGTGAAAAAATTGCTAGAACACTTATTTATTTTTTAAGCCCAAACCTGCAAACTTAGTATAACAGAAGTACAATCTAGCTGTAGGAAATTAACACAGATTCTACAAAAGTGCTTACTATTAATGAGGCAAATATTATAACAAATATTATAAACTGAAAAGCTCAAAACCTATGGACTAAGTTTTGATCAATTCTAGGCATAAAAACATAAGGTTTGAGGGGAAAATGCCATTGAATAACTCCAGTATTCTTTGATTTCTTAATTCCATGCCAGTTAGGTACAAAAATTTCATCTCTTATTTTATTCTGCATTAATAAACCTAAACAATAAAGAAAAGAAAGCAGAGATTCTTATTAGTATTTTTCTGCCAGTGCTAGCTTTAAGAAAAACATGATTCATGAGACTCCTTGCGCAATCATGAGAACTAGTATGATAGTAGTTGACCCAAGATTACTGACTTAACTCCCATATATAAATAATCAGTCATGGAAGGGACCTCTGGAGGTCTCTAATCAAACCTCCTCTTCAAACAAGGACCAACACTGAATTGAAACTAGGTTGCTTAGTGCTGTGCCCAGTAGGGTCTTTGAAAATCTCTAAGAAGATTCAACAAGATCTCTTCTGTCCCTGTTCCAATGCTTAATTATCCTTGCAGTGAATATTTTTCTTATATCCAGTCAGAACACCCCCTGTTACAATTTATGACCATTTTCTCTGTTCTCCTACCATGCATCTCAGTAATGAGCCTGGTTCCATCTCATCCTCTTAGCTGTCATGGCATCATCCACTATGACAGTTTTGACTCCTTGCCAACACAGGCTAATTCTAAAACAGGAAGCCAAAGCCACAGATACTCCCTTTCCCTCACTGTCATATTACAGTTTATTTCAGAGATGGCAATTGAGGTATATCTCACGACAGCTGCCAGAAAAGTTCACCTTTTGGTTTGTTCATTGTGCAGATTGTCCAGGAAGCATTGGATAAAGCCAGAGAAGGTCGCACCTGCATCGTGATAGCTCACCGCCTCTCCACCATCCAAAATGCTGACAAGATTGCCGTGGTCCAGAACGGCAAGGTCGTAGAGCAAGGGACCCATCAGCAGCTCCTGGCTAAAAAAGGCATCTACTATTCTCTGGTCAATGTTCAAAGTGGGTCATGCAACATGTAAATTAAAGGCAGTACTTATCTCTGAATTGTCACTGTAATTATTTCAATACTGCTATTTTTGTCACTGTAATTATTTCAATATCAATAGTCAGTCTTGATACTTTTGGTTTTCCTCCTTTCTTTCATAAGTCCTATGAAAACAAGAAATACTAAGTAAATATGTTCCAGTTTCTGACTAATAGTTTTCGTTATTCAAACCACTCTACTATGTGGCCAAAGAACTATGTGGCCTCTTGCACTCATAAAAGTAGAAGTATGCTAAGCCAAATGTAACTAATATTACCTTGTTTGAACTGTCAAAATCACACTAATCAGGCACATCTGGTAAACAACCTGTAAACATTTTCATGCTCAGTAAAAACAGTTTTGCTATTGATAGAAACAAACCTCAAGCCTTATCCTCGCTGTGTCTGTAAGGCATAGTCAGTCCTGGCCTATTAGGCTTGTTATCAACTTGTTATAAGAACTTGCAGGTCAGCTGGAGCTTGATGCCAGATGTCTGTTGTTATGATGTGGCTTTTTAGCCTGGGATGACAGCAAGGGTCTTTAAAATATGGATGCAGGCTGAAAACAAAGGTCCCAGAACTGTAAGTACTTCAGTGATGGTCAGTTACTGATCATTGAAGAGGTGCAACTTTAAGAGCTGTGAAAAGACTGTTTTAAATATAACACAGAAAAGATGCAGAAGATGATAAGAAACAAACCCACAACTGATGGCGAAGGCAAGGCACCTGCTGCAGCCTGGGAAAATAGTATCTGCAAGTCTCCCAAAGTCCTAGGGGTCAGAGGTCAGGGGCTAAGAACTCTCTAAAGACTGCAATATTTTATAAAAGGTGAAAATCTTGAATTTGGGCTTAGAGGCAGGGGAAAGAAGGAAGGATGGATGTCCTTTTCAGTGTTAGCTTCCTTCACTGAAGAGCTCTTGAGCCTGGTCACCCTGATGACTAAGGACCGTAACCATTGGTGCTAATTGCATGGCATCAGCTCTGTGGTATTGTATATTAGTTGCTGATTTAAGATGACTGTTAAGGACTAACTGCTTTGAATATGTAGTAATAGTGATTGATAATTATTAAGAACTAACCATTAGCAATGTGTATTGTTAATGAATGTCTATGCAGTAAAGTTTTGGTTTTAAGTTTAAAACTGGCCTGATTAATCAGTCTTTCACACTTCCGTCACAGCAATTTCTGATTCCCTGAGATTTATACATATGACCTGTCTTACCTATATGTAGATATTTATACACACACAACCTAACTGATAGGCAGTTAGGCTGATAAATGTACTAATAACACTCTCCAGAATGTTCATAGTGTCATTGTATTCCTCTTGAATCACTTACCTGTTTTCTCCTGTTCCTGTCTTAGATGGAAAACCAATCTGACTATCAAATTTGTTTGTTTCCTATTTATGTATTACTTGATAACAATAAGGTTCTTGTCCATGAGTAAGGCTATTAGTCTGCACCATAATATAAATAAATTATACTTGCAATTGCAAGAATGCAATAGATATTCTTTAACATTGTAGTCTGAAGATTCAAGTGAGAACATATTTAGGTTGATTTTTTTTTTACTAAATTCTGGATTTTAGTCTTTTATTTTTAAAACTAGGCTTTTTAATTTTTGATGATACAATTTCTAATGATTGGATTGTTTCCCCAAGTTGTATCATTTCAAAGATGCTTGATTTAGCAGACAAATTTAGCTCTTCCTGAAAATCAGGCAAGCACTGTAAATATTTTACCACAGACATGAGTATCAGTTTTGAAAATTTTGGCCATATAGGTTAAAATCTATTTCAGAAATTCATGTCAAATGTAGAAACTTTCCAAAACAACCTATTTTTCTCTATCCTTTTCTTCCACTTTTTCTAAAGAAGTATTTCCCCTTTGTTGAGATTTATGCAAAAGTTTGCATAATAATTGCTAAACACCTCACTTTTGGTTGAAAGGGGCTATAAGGAAATTAAGCACTTTCCTTTAAGAATAATGGATCTTTGTTTCCAAATCCACCATAAATGCTTAGATAACTATGCTGCTGCTCACAGTTTCTTTCCTTTCAGAATTTCCTTTCGGAAGACTACAACCACCATATTACTATTATTATGCTACCACCAGATGCCTCATCATGTAATTTTTAGTCACAAAGCCAAAAAGACAGACAGGGACACCTCCAAAAATGTGTTCTTCACCATATTCTGTTCATACACTTTTACATTATAATGCTTGACCCAAAGGAAGGGTTGACTGACCTAGAACAATTCTGCTTTAAAGACCGTTATTCTACCTACAGGGCATGAGAGATCTTACTTCCTAGGTCTGCCTTTTCAGTTAGGCTGAGACATTTTGGTTCACCTTGATATCATAAAATACATATGTGTTGTTATTCTGAAGTAATAGACCTTTTTTTCCTCTGTCTTTTTCTTCTTTTAAAAGCCTGCAGCACTTTCAAGCAGAACTTAGCTTTCTGGAGGAAGGTAATCTAGCAGTGGTTTTATGCATTTCTTATGCCTCCGTCATGGATGAGTGGTTAGATTGCTTAAAGAATTACCATCAAAGGTATTTGCAAAAGATGATTTTAACAGAAATTTCTAAAAATGTGATTTAACGAAGTTCAATGGCAAGGTTCACTCTATTACTTATTAAATGAATGGAATACGTATAAAGAAAAAAAAATCAAGGTAGAAGCGAGTTAGAATGATTTATACAGAGACTGAAAAAACAGGGGGGTAAAGGAGGCCCTCCCGTTGAGTCAAAAGGTTCAGAACAGACCCCCTTGCTTTCTAAACTCCTTCTCAGAGAGGAGCCTAGGTGCAGCTGGATCTAGACTTTGCCTTAGACTTTATCAATGGTTTATGTCTAAGGATTATATATGTTTAGCAGCAGTTCAAGGTTTATTCACAGTTAAAGAGACAATCACAGGAATTTAGCAGCAATTAATCATTGGTTAATTTAGAATTTACAAAGTGATTAAATGGGATTTACTACAATATTTTAATCGATTCACACACACACACGCGCACAATATGCATAAAAAGGTACATGTCAAAAATTCTCCTCGAGCTAAGTGAAACATTCACTTCAAATGATTGTCTCAACGGGTGAAGGTCAAGCCTCAAGGAGTGTGGTGGCCCCCGGAGTTCAGCCCAGGTCCTGTCGCCAGGCCTCTGAACTTTACAAACTTAAGCATCCAACTCAGAGGGAGGTACTGGCTGCAGCCCACTGCGGTCCAGGAGAGCTCAAAGGGTCTCACTTGGTACTGCTGTTTATAGGGTCGCAAGATGATTGTCTTTAGGCATCAGTAAATTTCCATCCTGGCCACAATCCAGGTCAGTAATTACTGGAGTTCTCAAAAATTCCAGTAACGCCGGTACTGATCCTCCTGTGTTGATCGGCCTGAGTTACGATCCAGATAAGATGTGTTCCAAGGCTGTCAGGGGATGACTGATTATTTCTGGTATGGTCAAGGTGCTCTCGTTCCCCACCTTGGTCAGGCAACCAGAGTTCCTGGTACGGTCAGTGCTGCTCCCCACCTTAGCCATGCAAGAGTTCCTGGTACAGTCAAAGGATGCTTAACCACTAAACTCATTGCACAAAGACCAAGTCTTGATGGGAATTCCTGAGATTGTAAAGTGGTCCAGGAGAGGGGCAGGGGGAAATGCACCACCACAGCCTCTCGCCCATTACCTTTGGAACAAGGCTTTAGAGAGATGTCAGCACTGATACCACCTTGGCAATCTGAACCACTTCCCAAGCATATGCCACTGACTGTGGGGAAAAAGGAAGCAAGAAGCCCTTAAGTTAAACAGTCTGATAACCCTCCTGAAGAAAAATGGGGTTTAGGTCTAGAAAGCCTTTCTTACTACGGATTCTTATCAAAGTGTTGAATACTACGGTGTCCTATTGCCCAGCATTCTCCAGCATACTTACCCCTACAAGGGCAATTTAGTTTATGTAGAAGATAAATTATCTTCTAGTTTATCTAGAAGATAAATTATCTAGAAGATTCTTCTAGATAAATTATCTAGAAGAATGTAGTTTAGTCATACATTCATTCTGTATTTCTAAGACAGGACAGTATCTTTTATTCTAGTTATTTTAATACAGTAAACTGAAAGCAGAAAGTAAGAAACAGGACCAGCAGCCACTTTAAATCCTTTGCTGTGAATTCCATGGACTGTAGAGATATCAAAAGTAGAGAACAGGAAGGAAAAGAGCAGAACACACAAGGACAACTATCTTTAGCAATCCCTGTTGTTGTAAGGCGAGGACATTTCCTTTTGTCTTTGTACGCTTATGCCTTTCATTCTAGCTGTACTCTCTTAACTAAGGAGGTCAGTACACTAATGCTGCTGCTGTAGAGGTCTAGGACAGGACTGCATGTAACTGAAAGTGAACATTCATGCCTAAGCTCATTTCTCTAAGCAAGCCCGTCTTCTGCACGGTTAACAAAGGTCTGGGCGATGGAGTCTAGGGCACATTTCATGCCATTCTAGAGTTGCTGTCACTGGCAGGCCAGATTAACTTATCTCTTCATAAAAGCATATGAGTATGATTATCATAAATACCTACGTTGTCAATGCCTTAGTGGAGAGAAAATGAGTCACATCTTGAATGACTGCTGTATTAAAATAAGCATCTTTGATCCTGCACTATGTAATGTTTCATAAAAGTAGATCTGTAAACACTAGCTGCAGCTTTGTATTCGCCAAGACAGAGACTTTTTTTTACAGAAATACTAGAAATTCTATGGGCCCAAACATTTAAAGTCAGTGATATTTTAGATAAAAGTAAAGACTGTGTCTACATATATGTGTATATAATCTGTTTCTTAATAGATTCACTTTAAGTGTCCGTCCATAAAAATGATACAATTCATTTGCTTAGTAAAGGAAACAAATATGTTAACAAATTTTTTGAATACAGCAAACAATTGTTATAAGCTAAAGTAGCATGGTCCCTACATCATCTAACAAACAGGAATAGTTTTATTTCCATGTTACTTCTGATTTGGTTCTCAAATCACTTATGAAGGTGGGTAAGTGAATAACT